AAAATTCGAAAACTGAAGTTAATCAATTTAGTCAATGAGCTTGAACAGTTAACTGCGTTCGGCGAGTATACACGTCATCTTAAAACGCAAAATGGTACTAATTTTCTCTACGATAAATCATTGATTTCTTCAGATAAATGTGTAATTCTTCTCCGTTCCGCTGTAATTATTCGTTAGAATATACTATAGATTCATTTGTCCTGCGTTTGACAAGTACCCACAAGTATTTAATTTTATTGAGCCCACAATGCGAGATTTCTCAAACAAATTTTCACAGTTAACTGGTTAACAAAAAAGTAACAATACCATCCCAGCAAACAAAAGTACATTTCAGTATTAATAAATTCAAATCGCCCATAAAACCTACCACATAAATATCGTTCTAATTTACAAAATAAAACAGAGACTCGCGTAAAAATGTGCCGCGTAAATCGAGGGCTGAGTGTATACACAAGTTGGCCCATGCGCTGATCGCAGCTCCCGAAGGTTATATAAGCGGCCACGGTTTCCGCTAATAAGCGCTCCTTTTACGCGCGGTCGTATCGCTCGGAAGCGTTTTTGAGGGAGCCCGGTGCCAAATAGGCCAATTAATATAACGTAACAGCCTTATCTCGCGTATCTTCGGGCAATAACAGTTAATGTTCGATCGACGATTCGCCGTGATTCCCCCTTCGGCCCGTTCTTCTCGGACGGGCGGCCAATAAACCGACGCGGAAAGCTCCTTTTCTGGGGCTCGGCCGGACGACTCGGCTCGAGTCGGGTCGGGTCCCGTGTGCTCGTTCAACGCGGCCACATGAAACATCCCTCTCTCTAGTCGCGTGATGCGAGCTTAAACCACGAGGAGAGATCGATCCGCGTAATGGAGGGTGGCGGGAGGAGCGAAACAAAGAAGCCGTTCTCGGGGTGTTCGGTCGAACATGTGCACGTGACGCGGGCACGCGCGCGCGTGTTCAAGCTCGCGCCTCTCGCTTTCGCCCAGAGTATACGTGGATTCTTAAAAGAAACAGGAAAGAAGAATTACGGCACCGTAAATCTCGAGCGGTAGCTATTCGAAAGCGAAGCGCAGTATCCGTGGAAAAATGCAAACAGCGACTACGTTTATTGTGATCCGTGTATTTTGGTTATTTACGTCACGCTCCTTGCGCCCGGCGATATTTGAAAACGCGGATTGTCGACCGTGGAAATACATAGGCTCGTTGAAAAGCGACCGAATTCTTTTGCAGAAAGTTTAACGGAATTGTAAATCTCGGGGTTTATTGAAATTTAGGGGGTGTTTGCCTTGGGGGTTGCGGTGGTGCATGTTTGGCAGTGTGCGTCGCTAAAGTTTGTGTGTATGTTTATGGAATGTAATATTTTAGGATGGTAATTGTGATAATGGGTGAAACTTGATATGTTGAGAATGTATTAACAGTAGAACTACCGTACCAGTCGAAATGACTCGGCTTTTTGATTCCGCGATTATTGATAATTATTGATACAATTAAAGTATTGGATATTCGAAATGATGTTGAAAATAGTTTCATTTAATTACTAGAAGGAATGTCTGAAGAAAGTGAAAATAATCTATTATTACAATTTTTATAGGGATTACATGTCAATCGTATTAAACGCTCGGTAGTTCTGGTGTTACAGTAATATATTAGTAATGTATTATATATAAGGTATATGTTAAAGATAAATTGAGAATATATAGTGTTACGTAAGTATTGATCTAACTGGAAAAGAATGCTTTTACATGGGAAAATAGATTGAAAGTATAGTACAAAATGTTTTTTATATGTTCTCGAGAAAATTGGCTAATATTTTTACACGTGCTTGTATTTATTGCGTTGGATGTTCGAGAGCACACAATGGAACGGAATATTCGCGTACAATAAACTTTATTACTGTAGGATTTGTTGAAAATATTTCCCACTCTACAGAATATACAATTCAGCCCCTTGTAGTATATTTATATGAGCGTTTTCATGTACTACATTTCATTGAATTTTAAAATAGTCTTTCTCGCAATTGATTCAACATTTATGTGATACTGGGAGAATTTATAAATACGAACACGAACATAATCTATTCTCTGATTGTACTACTAGTTACGCACCCTACTATCTAATCAGCATATTAATATTTAGATACCAAATGTACTTATTATCTGGATATAGAAGACTTGTACTAAATCGATCAGGAAAAAACATTTCTCGCTTAAAGAACAGCATTTTTCAACTGAATACTAAAATAAAACTTATGCAACAAGTAAGCAGTCTTCCAAGAATATCTTAGACATTCTAGAAATAATTTTGCTACATCTGATACTTTCTAAGATCCATTGGACCAGCATGAAACAATGGTACCATACAGTACCCCAATCCCATCAAAAACTCAAAAATAGTTTCGCTACAAACTTCCTCACAACATTTTCAATAATTTGGTACATAGTCAACACTAACGTTCAAGTGTCTGATGATATCGAGGAAAGACCAAGAAAATGGCCAAGAATAAAACACAAAGATGAGTATCTACACAGTGACTCACAAATCCGTCCACGCCGAAAAATCCTAAACCCAACATCCGCCTGTTTATACCTCGTATCAACCAATCTTAATACTTCTACAACAGAATTTACCCGAGAGCAACAGAAAACTACAATTTCACCGGGTAATTCAACAAATCCCCGAGTCACCGTAATTCCCGTTTAATCGGGCCCGCGGCATTCCCAAGCGTATTTATGGGAAATCTAATTGCCAAAGTGTTTATCCAAATATGGCGGATAATGGCGAGCTCAATTAAAATGCCATTAGCGGTCGAATTTTTCTGGAGAATGCGCGCGCACGTGCCGGGCTCGCATGGCAGCCGTAAGAGACAAATAGACAGAAACGATCGGGAGGCCGACCGGGCCGTGAAATGCAAAAGAAACGACGAGGGACGAGAGATAACGCGCGATTCAGCGCGGACACGCGAAGGCAACCGCGCAGCATCGGGTATATACGTACCGCGCAGCAGTATTATAAGTGGAGTGATAAAATGAGATCATCGTTAACGCTCCTCGCGCACCGGTGCGCGCGTATTATGTCAAATGCACACGAACGACTCGCGGGAAAATATCGCAGCGCCAACTGTTTCGGAGTAACGGAGAAACAAAGTTCTTCTGTCTCGCGAAAAGAAGACTCATCATTCTTTTCTCGTCTGTTGTTTCTGATGAAGGAAAATAGAGGAAGATGGAGCCGAGATCGAACTGGGATTCATACCATAAAACACGTACATTATAAACTGAAGAATATTTGATCGAACCGCAGCACGGAATTGTCTAACTTCGCGTTGTTCACGAGAAGACCGCTAAAAGGAATGCGGATCTCATTGGTCAGCTTTCTTCTTTTCTCATCTCATTTTCAATACTGATTTGCTATTAGTCCACATGTTAGACTTAACCAATCAAAAACCATAAACAAAATCCCCAGCGAGAAACCCCTCTTGTCTGTGTGCCGTCCCGAGGTTCTCGCGAGCAATACTATACTCCCCTCACGCTAATAACTCGAAAACAACGTTCCCCCACTATCTCTACTCAAAGAACTGCCCGAGACTGCCTGTGAGCAGTTCTATATAGTGTTCAATAGAAACAGGTACAAGCAGGTATGAAGAGGGTACCTTTTTATGAGAGTAGTGTCACTAACGTACCCACGGGCACCGATTCAGACACCAGCACGATAAAAAACCGATATTGTGTACCGACCTTAAGAAAACCTATTCTATTCTCCCAAAATCGCACAGCGTCACCGTTGCGACATCGCAGAAGGATCGTGTCGCTCATGTGCACACTGCCTTATGCCGCGACGCGGTGGGCCGACCTACGCGCACAACGACACGCAACGCGGTGGAAAAAACAACAGACGCATATATTCGCCGATGTTTACCGGCGTGCCTCGAAAAACGGGCGTGCAGCGACGCGGCGTACGCTGTGTTACGTCACGCCGTATTACCGAGGAAGGTCACGCGGTTCGTTCCAAAATGTACCGTCAAGCTAGCCGGAGAGAAAAAAAAGATTCGAGTTCCCTAGATGGTACCAAGAGCGGATTCGCGAGTCCTAGAACCAGCGTGTCATGAGGCACGCCGGAGAATCCCAGTCTAGTTCGTTCAGGTGGACTATAACCATCGGAGAGAAGAGAGAAAAAGAAATCACGAATAAACGAACTGTGCAAAGGCGTAATAACAAAGGTCGCGTTTCCAAGATCCAACGACGGCTCACGCACGTTCGTTGCCATGTGCCAATGACACGGTGCGCGCGCGTCCACGTACTTAAGTGCACTGTACAGTGGACGATTTTGCCGTTTCAGCTGGCTACAAGTCAATTTTAAAAATTGTATGTAGATTGTACAATTTTCGTTCCCTAAGATACTTTAATGTGTGAGGAATGAGATAGCAATAGTTTTTTTCATTCGTGCACTCATAAGCGCTGGTACTTTGTTGAGTTTTTAAGCGTCATCAGATTTGGAAAATGTTTGTGTTTGCTATACAAAAAGCATGTTTCCCTTATATTTATTCTGCCATTTTTCTGTTCCACAACGCGAAAAATTTGTGTACATATATATATATATTATGCACGAATATAATTAATATTTATCAGGCTGTCATGTAATATGTAATTGATTGTTATTATATGTTAGTACCTATTGTATTATTATTATTTACTACATGATATATAATATAACACACTCAATATGAACATACAATTTCTTATATGTGCATATATAGTTAAAAATATTTAATATTTATTTATTTATCATACACTTTATAATTGATTATCATTATGCATTATTACGCGTACATAACCATATGTTGTCAACAAAATTCGACATATAGTTGCTTTGAATTTTAACCGGCTAAAACGTCATAATTGCCCACGATGCACCGGTCGGTGCTCGATAACGTTCCCACGGTGGGGAGGGGAAAAGAGAACGAGAAAAAAATAGGAAGGAAAAAGGGAAATCCGCGTGCTCGCGTGTACTCACCTCTTTCCCTTCGTTCAATATACTCGGCGGCCTGTAGTAGGGCAGCAATGCTCATATTTCCCCGGTTTGGCGTAATTCTGGCGGCTTCGGTTCACTACCTTCTTTCCCAACGATCCCCCGGCACTGAGACCGCGCGCGCGGCGGGTCGGCACACGACGCGATAAGTGTTCGGA